CATCTCGTCCCAGGATGAGTATTCACGACCCTGAATCAGAGAGTCAAACCCTTGACCTCTGATGTTGCACGCGGTCCCTAGAACACCAAGCCGGCATCCAGTGGTGTACATGTCTAGTTTCAATCAATTTACGAAATCGCACAACCGCAGTCCATTGTTTGCGGTGAATGACTGTTTCACACTCGACATGACTGAACTCCACTAGTTACGGTTTCTTACTAGAACTTCAAAACTTGCAACTTGAATCCAGTTTCTAGTGAGCACATTGTTATTAGTAGAATAGAGGGATTTGTAGAGATTGTAGGATGTGATTTGAATATAGACGGATCATTTATGTACTTTCAGGACTCAGAACCAGATCAACGCAAAGCCTAATAAAAACAAATTTCACCATTTTTGCTTGTAAGGCATCCATACAGTTTCTCCTAGTTAAAAGCATCTATTCATTAAGGTTTTACTTATGGGATCGCTTAACTTCATCATCACGTTAATAATCTACTTCGAGAGTACAAGAGAAAACGATAAGAAAGTGTATTGTAAATTTCAATCTACTTTACTTCAATACTCCCAGTTTATTGAATGGTTGTTGTTGTTGTTGACCTTATTGAGTAAATTGAATTGTTATTTAACGGTCAATAATTACATCTGGATAAAAACCTGGTGTTACAGTTTTGTTGTAGACCGAAATATCAATTAAACGATTATATTATTTAATAAAGCCACAGACTTACTTCGTTTATTGAGTACGGATTTGAAAATTTGATTGTTTGTATTTAGTTGTAATAACTTTACAGCCAAAATTTCATGTCTCAAAACTGAATAGACTTAAAATCGGTTCATTGGCAACTAAATATATAATTACAAACTGCCTAATTACCTCATCTATTTTCAGCCGATTATTATTATTATTTAAATATTCTAAACAAGAAACTAGCAGGATGAAATTCACTTGGATTAACTTTTCTGCTGTTCTCTATCATAGAGTTACTTGACATTCAGTAATGGAAATAGATTAGAAACATGGTTTAAAGTTAAATTTTTCATTGAAATCATGAGTCCATTGAAGCTAGACCACCATGGAAAACCTGGAAGCACTGGACGGCCGTTTCGTCCTAGTATGTGACCCCTTAGCAGCGCGTATCCACGATCCCGCACCCCGCGAGATTCGAACCCAGGACCTATCAGTCTCACACCAGGCGCTTAAACATTAAACCACTGAGCCGGCATCCAGTGGTATTAATGTCTAACCTCAACCAATCCACGAAATTGCACGACCATCTTCCATTGTATTGAGATAGACACCTGTTTCTACCCGACAAGGATTAGCTCCACTGGTCACGGCTTCTCACCAGAACTCCGAGAATTTTCTCACGAAACTAGTCACTAGTGAGTACATGGTAACCATCAGTTTAGGTGTTGTGGAGATTGTTAAGTTTTTGATTCAAATCATGAGTCACTTGAAGCTAGGCCATCATGGAAAACCTGGAATCACTGGACGGCCGTTTCGTCCTTATAACTTAACAATCTCCAGAACACCTAAACTTTTAAATTTTTCAATTTATCTAACAGAGAATACAGATAACCATGGAAAAAAATGTTTTTCATGAAATTTGTCCATCATCTAAATTGAACTTTATTCATCATTATGAAACGGTATTAAAAACAATCAACTATGCAGAAATTATAGTGATGACTATTCAAATACTCATAATAACTCATATTTATGTTTCCTTTTTTTTTATTTTTTATGTGTGAGATATGATCTAAACAAATGTCATATTTAAAAAAATCTCATTTAACTATTACGTCATATAGAATGTCTATACTAATAAGTCTGTTCATTCCGTAATACAAATTAATATATACACAAGTGACATACATTGAATACTCGTGTTCATTTATATGGAACAAATTACCCGCATTGTGGTTTATTTACTTTGTATATTTATTTTATTAATTAAATTAACCGGAACTGTAAAAACATAATGTAAACATTTTATTGATATGGATTTCTATGTGTAATCATTCATATTATACTTGAGTATGTTCATTTGTCTATATACTTATCATTATAAACAAGTCATTAGTATAGTTTGTTTCTTTAACTATAATGTTAATATGTTCCCCCCGCCCAAGAAATGGATTCATACTAGATATGAACATTAATCAGGTCTGATTTGAAGATCTTTCAATGTTTATTCTTACGACAATATTATTAACAGTATTTATAATATGTCAAGATCAATACGCAATTGATTAAAAGCATAAACATATTTATTGTTATGTAATAATATTTATTTTTCCTGATGGATAATTTTTACTGATATAATTCAATTGAAAATAACTTTACCACTCATTAAAATGATTATTGATAGACACTGATTAATAGATTTATTTTAAAATATATAATAGTTATAGTACAATAATCAGCTTAATAGTGACTTACTTCAAGATGTTTCTGAAGTTCTAGTTAAAAATCATAACTGGTAGAGCTTAGATGTATCAGGAATGAAAGAATTGTCACTTATGGCATTGGATGGTCATTATATTACATCATAGATTGATTTAAGTTAGAATTGTACCTTTAGATATCGACCGATACTTTTAATGGTGAAGTATTTCTCAGAATACTTGAATGCATGCCTCTGAGGAGTTCCATACTAGAACGAAACAGCTATTCAGTGCTCTGTGGTTCTCGATGATATCCCATGTGAGATTAATCTGTGACTAATACAACCTACATATCAATAATAGATAAAGTGTGGACTTATAGTTCCTAGCTAGAACCATTTTTTATTGGAAATCTATTTATGTAACTTGAAAAAGTAACAATAACCTACATGGAGCTATAACCAACTGATTCACGTGGTCAAATTGTAATGCACCAGTGATGACTTTAATTTCTCTCCTAGTACTTCAGTTCAACAAGATGATTATTTATGAAAGCTTAGAAGTTTAAGCTGTATTATTATTACGAAATTTCCCAGAGACACAGAATTTCTACAAAATGATTACGTCATATAACATATTTTTTGCTCTTGAAGAAGTAACATATCATTTTTTTTATAAATAACTTGATTACAAATAAATCATATACATCATTTATTTTAGTTACTATTCGGCCGTCACACAAATGTGGGCATTTATAAAATTACCTTTTGCGTATAACTTTGGAATTATTCTATATATCCCTTTATTTATCCTTTTAACTTTAGTTATTCTTTTATAACACGGATCAGTTCAATCAAATATTGTATATACCTTTTTTTAATGATTATAAAAATGTAATTTAGTATATTTCAAGTTTATGACCGTAGAGACAGAAGGAGGAATTGAATCAATACAGTTCTTTGTTAGAACATTTAATAGGAATTTTCAAATAAATTGATTATTCGTTAATTAACTAATTAATTGATTAATAGTATAGATTTTTGTTATTGAATAAAAATGTCTACATAACCATTCTATAGATTTCAACCATTTTTCTAGAAAAGTTCACTTAAACTTTCTGGGTCTTCACAAAGAAAAAAATTCAAAGTGACTTTGAAATAATAGATATTTCGTACTTGTCAGACTTAAAACATAATGGAATTTTAGGCCAGTTGATGGTTGATTAATTTTAAGTTACTAAACAAAGTCTCATATTTGAAGGTGCAGGACGATAACGCAGTTAATTTATATCACACTATTAAAGCTTTGAGCAGCTATTTTATCTTAATATACAACTCCTTATCAGTACTTATCCAATCCATACCTGATTTCAAGCAGTTGCTCATCAATGGTAGTGGTGGTAGATTGATTGAAGTTAAACGTTTAAACCAGTGGGTATTGATTCAGTGATCTATAGATTAAATACACACCTCAGAATCTGAAGTTCCTTTGTTTGATTCCTAGTGTGGTTGTGGATGGGCACTGGTGAACAGTCACATGATTTATTTAGCATAATACGAGTTTAACATTCTGGAAGCTATTTAATTCAGATTCATTTTCTACTTGATATTACTCTCAACAATATTAACATCTAATTTTTTAAATTCTTCTCTTCATTTTTAATTTTTTTTCAACCGAGTTCTCTCATCATTTAAATATCGTAATAAACAAAAAATATTGGGTTCACTAGAACAATCTTTCAAATTAAAACCTCATTAAGAAAAACACTTACTAAATAGTTCAATGTATTGCAATCTTTCTTTCCTAAATAAAACCGTCAAACTTGTATAAATATCATTATTAGCATTAATTACTAAGATTGTTTTCAGCTTTTTATCACGTACAAATCCACATTAATAAAAAAAAGAAGCACATTTTTTCTATTCAATTTATGAAGTAAGCTTTATGTTACTTAATTAGTTAATTTACTGTAAATTTAACTAAATAGATGCTTAATCAAGAGAGATATTCTATTATGTCTTTCATTTCGAATGTCCATTTCGTCTATGATCTTTTTAATGTTATTAAATCAATTTTTTTTAAAAACACATAAAATTACTTGTCAAAAGTAATGGTGTTGGTGCAGTTCATTCATTGAAATTCATCTCATTCATCTCTGTCTGCATTAAGTTAAATCATTGAATGACCTCATTTTCACATTCCATGCGTTTAAATGTGTATGAATCTCGCCTATACTTCTGTCTTACATACACACACATTTATTAGTTGACCTCGTGAAAAAGCTCATAAATGTGTCCGGAATCTAGAAGTTGGACATTTTTATTACATTTATAAGACAAGTTAATTATTATTATTAATACCATTAAAACAGATACCTTTTTGAGTGAATATAGAAATAATTACATAAATAAATTTCTCATTCCTCTATTTTCTATGTACATGTGTATGTTCACTAATTCATTCACTTCATTGATTCATATTCTTAATACATACATAGAAAAAATAATTAATGGTATTTCATTTCAATGTCTTGTACACATCCAACTGTTTGGATGATGGTTTGGGGTTTTTATTTAGGCGTAAATTTCATGCAGATTGGTGAGTATACCACAATGACTTCTCTGACCGTGAAGTTTAATAATGCGGATGTGAATCCCGTTTGATTCATCAATTCCATCTTGATTACAGACGAGTCTTACTAAGGAGTGTCAACCAGGAAGCAGCTTATGCATATGACATACTGCTGAATAGGTCTTACCAACTAATATCAAACACAGCTGTAGACATTTGATAAACATGCAGTCTATTCATAAGAGTGTCATAGTCGCTATCTTTAAAATAACGTGAAAAGTAGGGTGGGAACGAAAGATTTCATTCTAAGTCTTGGAGGTTTGTGTACGTTGATAGAAAATCGATATATCCTCTTTCTGTCTTCTATTAAATAATCCCAGATAATTTCAGAAATCCTTACTTTATTTAATGCATAGTTTAATATGAATAATTTAACGAAAAATGTAAACTTATTTATCCTAAAAAATGGGGATTTTCAATAATTCCGCTTATACATTTATAAATACACTCATAGGGACCTTACAGATTTTATTTATATTATATTGAGAAAATTTTTATTTGTTTATTCATCTCATTGCTGCTAGAAGCTTTTATGAAGATCAATTTATTCTTTGCTTTGACAATAAAGTTAATCATTGGAAAAATAATTACATATAGAATAATAAACCGTAAACCTAATTGCTAAAGTATGATGCTGACAAATCAAATTTCATGTTATGCTCATTAGATCAGTATATTTAATAATCTATTTTTGGACCTATTGTTGTTGTTTATTATTGATCTTATAACCACGAGTAAAATTATCGCGTGGACATGTTTTTGCTTTACTGAATCCTGATTGGTTAATAGCAATAAAAAATCCCTAGTTATTTGATAGGTTGGTTTATTTTAGTTTAGAAAGCGTATTAAAAGGGTAATCGGTCTAGTTGAATAAATTTCAGATCCGATTAACTTGTATGCAGTTTAAAGCACAATTACTTTTATATTAAACATTTTAAAAATAATGGATTCTTCACCGCCGGTATTATTGAATGCTTTACGGCCACTTAAAACAAATAGACCAAGACCACGAATGAGATTAACATCTATACGCCAAACACCACAACGTGTTCTAGCTGCTAAACTTGACGTAAATATCAATCAGAACTTAAATCCTGTCATATGTCCTGAAACTCTAAATCAACCGACACCACGAGTAGACTATAAATCAGATGTTCCTTCTTCAAAATTAACAAGATTTGTAAAACGATTTAGTACAACTTTTCTTCCCGCTGAACATCCAGTATCCGATATTATGAATAAATCAGAGAAGAATATTAATCCTCAATTTGATTTTAACCAGTGGAAAAAACGGAGGTCTATACTAAATTATCGAGACCGATCACCATTACATATCGACCAACATGTACAACCAGCTGATGGAATGGTTGATACGAATACTGACCAAGTTGATAAAAGAATTACAGTTTTCTCAGATTTATCTAACGTAATTGAATCAAATCAAACAACCACTTGTACTAAACGTAAAAGCAGTCTTACAAGATGGTTTGAAAAGAATGTTAAACATCCACGAAGATCATTACCTCATAGATCCCTAACAACTGATTGTACAGCACCAGTTATCACTAACAGTTCATCAATACCTGAAAAAACGCAACCAGAATGTTTGTATAATCAAATTACCCAGCAGACAATTACACCTTATGCTAAAGTTTTTAAATCCCGTCGCAGTCTATTGAGACATAGATGTATTTCAAATCATCCTATTATGTGAGTTATCTGTTTATATTTCTGATATTCAGTTAGTGCTAACTAGCTAATTAGACTTGAGTTTTTTTATTACGTTTGTGTGTTAGGACAAAACAGAATGATAAATTTCTATGATAATTTACTTTTAAATAATTTGATGTGGTATAACTAAGTCAATCTAGATTCACGCGTTAATAACCTCTCTGTTGGTCTGTTATTTTGTAAAGAATTTCTTTTGAGGAATTTTTCTACTTTAGCCTGAAACTTTAACCAAGTTTAATGTAATAGATGTATAGTGTGCATTATGTGTCAGCCGTTTTATCAAGTGACTATTTTTGTATTTAAACTTTCGTTCTCCTGATAATTCGTTAGTAGAAATTTTCAATACAAAGGATATCAACTATTCAGCTCCCTTTAAAGTTAAATTTTACATTTAAGTACATTTAAGTATTTAGATGATAGGATAATTCTATTCTTTTCGCAATTTCTTTTTTGAAACTACCTCTCTTATTTTTCATATCCGCTGAGTTTTATTGGTACAAAAACTTCAAGGTCGTGAGTGTGACACAAATTTCATGACTCATTTATAGCTGTGTCTAAGCTGAGGCATAAGTGGATCAGATATAAAAAGCTCAGATCCGAAATAAACTACCTACGTTATATGGGAATTTCGATGATAAAAAACTAAAAATCGTTTCTGTGTACACGTGTATACAAGATCTTTGTGAAAGGTGGTATGCCTCACAAGATTAAGTATTCATAACGATGAATATATCTTTCACCCCACCACCCTGTTTCCCGATCAGAGGGTCAGACAGTTTAGATGAAAATAGAGACATTTAGGGTGGAGGGACAGATGACCATATGTGTTTTATATGGGCATGATAAATAAATAGATTTCCACGTGCATAATTTTATCCTCTCACACACGCACATACGCATGGTAGATTTAACGGACAAAGCCTTAATGAATGACTCAGACAACTCAAGTATTTGAGCAGCTGGTGTAAAATTTCTCCCATAAACTAGAATCCATATTAAAAACATATGGAGTCTTTGTTAATACTTTTTGTCTTTCATGCCCTATGATCCAGAAAATATTGCTCATAGCCTAACAAAATTCCAATACAACTGTTCTTTGGTCGATCGATTAATTTACGTGTTCAAAATCATTCATGCTTACTCTATTTTCACTGATTTTAGAACATCGAAATCTCAGGAAAGTAAGACACCCGGGATCTTTCTATCACATGGTGTTGATCATATAAGTAACTGTAACCATCGTGATTCTGGAGATGAAACTAATGAGAAAGTTATTGTTTTGAAGAGTAACAATGTAGAAGATTTTAAAATCAATGAAACTAAATCTGTTCATAAAAACGCCTTTGGTTCTGAAAAATGTGTGAGTGAAGCAGATGAACCTTGGTTTATCATCCCACCTACTGGTATCGATGGTCCGTGTTCTCAAAATCAAAACAGTACTTATTCAAGTATCAGTTCGATTGTTTCGGATTTCACGAGCATGAGTCAATCTGTTGGCAAGAGTACTGGATCTCACAAGTCCCTGATAAGTACATTCTATACTCCGACAATGAAACGTCGGCATAGACTACCTATTCCTTCAGAATTTCTTAATTCTACTTCCTCAGGACCTGTGATCTACAAATCAACCACACGATCCTCGATGACGAATATGTATTCAGAATTGAATAAATCAAGTGATCAAGATTCAGGTCTTTCATCACAGCTAAGTACTACATTTCAAGGTGCAGATGTGGAAACCCAAAGTGGAGATTTAAGGGAACATAGAAATCTAGTAGGATCATCATCGGCAAGTTGGGCAACTACTTTACGTCAGTCTATGAAACGAGCGAATAATAAACGTACTTTATTGGCAGGTTGCACTTTATTCAATAGGTGAGTATCTTTATTAAATAGTATATTTTGTCAGTAATGTAGCCCGATTTTTATGCGACAGAGTTGCCAACCCGGTTTTTACCCTCCTGTTTCTCACGGACTCTAGGTCATTAGCAGTCCATGAGGAGCTCGAAACAGGGTCACAGTGTGCATGGTTGTGTGGACAAATCTTAGACACCTTTATCAGGTGATACACATGCATCATTTTATGAGTTATAAAGCACAGCAGAGATCCCTACCTTCGTATCTCTATCGTTGCGTTACAGGTAAAACAACTATATTACAGTTAAAACCGAAACGCTCACAGATCTTCGTTATATATATATATATATATATATATATATATATATATATATATATATATATATATTTGTTTGTTTCAAATGTGATTTCTTAAAATAATTTTCTTTATTAAACACAGGAACCCAGTCGAAGGACTCAATTACCTTATTAGAAATTATATTTTATTATCTGATCCCATTAAAATTGCTCAATTCTTATTCCATGAACCAAATCTCAATCGCCAAGCTATTGGAGAGTACTTTGGTCTACTTGATAACACATTGGCAACGAAAGTTTTAAAGTGAGTTTTAACAATAATAGTCAGTATGAATGCTTTCGCTTGTTTTATGTGCGTAAAACTTTTGCAATTTTAACTTTCATTTTAGAATTCCACCTGGTTTAATAACATTTATTAATTAATTAATTTTCACAGGGAATTCTTATTGCTGATCAATATGAAGAATATGGAGGTGGATGTTGCCTTGCGTTCAGTTATCGGACATTTTCATCCTTCAGTAAGTCTTCATGAATTTAAATAAATATTGAGTAATCAGTGATTAGTTTTAATTTAACATTATTCTGAAGTTTATCAGTTATCGTTTTTATACTAATCATCCAGTTTATTAAACGGATTGTGTGTGGTTGTGGAGATTGTTTGATTTCACTAAATCGGTTGGTTTGATGGAAGTTGGTCTTAAGTCCGAAGTTCTTGTGTCCGACTTCTGGATGCGGTATCTTGAATGGATGTCAATGAGGAGTCCGACGCTGGGACGAAACATTCGTCTAGTGTTTCCAGTCTTCCAATAGTGGTCTTAGATAGGTTCATGATATCGATGAAATTCAGTAAACGTAGTTGATCTTTTATAAATTTCGGTGATTGTACTGTTCTTAACAATTCTATATTTTTTGTTTCAGGGTGAATCTCAAAAAATTGCTTATCTAATGCGAATATTTCATGAAGTATATATTATTCAAAATTCAGATCGTGTCCGAAAAAATTTTCATAGTCCTGAAACAGTGGAAGTCTTAGCATATTCAGTGCTTTTGTTACACACAGATCTTCATAATCCTAATGTTGGAAAGTTGGGCAAACGGATGACTAAACAAGGCTTTATTAACAATAATCGTGGAATTGATTCTGATCATGATGTGCCTACAGATTTACTGGAAGGTATTTATGATCGTATAGCTGCTTCCGAGTTTAAGACACTACCAGATCCATCAGATAAACTTCGTGCTTTGGATGGAGTTTTGGTTGGTCCTTTGAAAACAGACAACTTTGTACAACGACATCGTCGTTTCATTGGCAGGATTCTGACCCAAGAAATTGAAAAAATTGCTCCCCGAAAATTACCAGGTAGAAATAATGCTCGATGGCGCCACGTGTTAATATTTAACGATATATTGGTGGTTGTTAAATCGTTGAATACAACCCGTTTACGATCTGGTTCCCTTATAAATTCTGTCGCAGCAGTTGCTTTTGGAGACCAAAATGCTACTCATCATTATACACCAAGGAATTCCGTATCTAGAGATGACGGTAGTTGTAGTCCTTTCGGCCCAGTTCAAGATGTAACACAAAAGGTGTTCTGTTCAACTGAACCATTTCCTGGTGATACAACTTTTCAAGTTCGAAATGTTTATCCATTCCTTGATCTTCGAGTGTTGGTTTTTGAATCGAATTGTAAGTATGCTTTATTATTTACCTAATTGTTCCGATAATTCCAACATAATGTGATGATATAATACTAGTTTAAAATGACTCTAGAATATGTACTGTGCTGCATAATATATCAAAGTAATAGGATTTGTGAGCTTAATATTTTACAGAAGTTTTATAGAACACATCATGACTACAGAAAAACAATCGAATAATGATTGCATATTAAATGACGGTCACAAAGGATCACACATTCATTTTTCAGTGTGCTTTTAGATGGATGAAAAGTTATGTAACGCGTCTCCGGTAATACCTATGGTTATCTTGATCGAGCGAACAATATCTTGTATAAATTGAAGAAATTATGATCATAGATGCTTTGATGCTTGAACTAAGGTGATTCGTACCAAACGATACTATTTAGCTATATACGTAAGAGCTTACGGCGAATTGTTATCTGTTAATAATTCACCCTGACAAACTTATTATAGTCCTGGTAAAGCGAATTGCGTGCGAGTTTGTAAAGGCACATTTGGTTTGATAGCATGTTTCCTTAAATATAGTTGTTTCGATTTCGTCATTCCCTGCTTGTCACAAGCCTCAGTTCCCCCTCTCAACCTAATTATTGGTTATGCACGCAAATTAAGTTGCAAAATACTGCAAACAATGTTTCTCTGCCTTAAAAGACTCCCTGCTAAGTTCTTACAATAGAGTGTTTATAAAAATATTTGTTACAATGATAATATTGGAAATATATTTATAATCATTGGGGTAAAAAATGCCGGAAAAAACGTCCCACTTTCTGTGGTAGGTGGGGGTAGAAGAAAATCATGTTTATTTATAAGGAAATGAAATAAATTAACAGGGAAAGGTCATATTTGTGAAAATTAACTCCGAATCTAAACCCCATGCATTTTCCCCCGTTGCGAAACTGTGTTTAAGATAAAAGAATGGATGACGTGATATTCGGATGTTGAATTTCATATTTTCTGATACCAATAAAATTCCGGTGATATTAATTTTCACCGGTTTATGTATCGTTTTAAAGGGTCAAAATTCTTACTACCGCTATTCTTATTTAAAGATGCAGTTGGTCTAAGCAACAACTATGTATCTCAACTATAATTCACTAGCTTTTAATTTGAACTACCCTTGATAAACGGAATTACTAGTATAATACTCGAAAATATGCACATTATTTGATATAAATTTGCATTAAATTTTATCGAATGCTTGTCCATCTCATTTTTTATTATTATTGTTGATACAATCAGATTATCGATACGGAGTTCAACTGTGTAATTCTAATGGCCCTGTAATTAGTTTAAGTATGCCATCTGAAGCTTGTCGTCGTCAATTCATCGATTGGGTGTACGGATCCATTGCTGAAATGGAGGAATTACAGCAACATCAACAAATTAAGAAAAGTGAATGTGAACGAACTATCATTGTTAATTGTAAACGGAATTCAACGAATACTACCGCTAATGGTACTACTTCTATTAATAATGGCGATAGATGTGTCATGCCTTCCTCAAGAGTAACTGAAAAAGTTATATTATTTAATGCCTAATTATTATTCTCATTATTACTAACCAGCATTATTAGTGAAACTGCAGATAAACAGAATATCATTGATTTACATTTTTCTTTTGTATTTGAGTTCACAGAATATTTCAGTTGAATTCCTTTTTTTCACTTTGTAATTTCTATTTCACTGTATAAGAGCAAACAGTAGTCTATACATAAAGATGATTCTTTTCATTGTTTCAATGTGTATTTTTGGCATTGATTGCTCATTCAACCCCTCAGATCATTCAAAGTGAATGTATACTTGGAATCTCTCCCCCCCTTTCTGTGATACTTTAATTAATTGAACGTATAAACATAAACGTATACCACAAAACATAAGTTTATAGATATCTACATAAAAATAGATTATTCCTTTTAATTTTTAATGCTTAAATTTTGTTGATTCAATCATTGTCCCATATCAGAGATTATAAAGTTAGATAAAATTTTCAGTGTTTATGAGTATTATTATTACTGTTGTTATTACATAACAGTTTTGTTCACTTGTTTATTCACCTTTTATTTACTAGAATCTCCAGACAAATTAGACTAGTTTATTATTAATTTGAATATGATAATTCATATATGTATCATATGACCCAGTTTATAATCGCATTTGTTTATAGAATACTTCTACTTATTTGTATTGGTTTCTCTTGCTTTTTCATCCTTTTCAGTTTAACCTCATTTATGTGAATATTGAATATTTGTACATTTTTATAAATAATTCTTTTTCCATTACTGTATAGATTACCTTTCCCCTATTCATTGTTTGTATAAAAAATATGAGACTATTTTCTGCTTTAAAATATGTTCGCTTAAATACATCTAATCTCATTAATGTTGCCTTAGCGTGATGCTGCTGCTGATGATGATATAACTATCAGATGTAGATATTTCAGTTGACTAGATTTCGTTTCATATTTCGTCAAAAACTGACGGACAGTGTATTTTAGAATTAAACTATTGCAGCACTGCGCAGAGATATTGGGTTGAGAAATAATAGGTTGTGAATTTTTATGTGAGAAATAGTAAGTGAAATAGCTGGATCAACCATCAGCAACTCTAACAGTTGTATTGTGAATTATGGGTGGTTAAAATGCTGTCGATTTGAGTGTCAACTTAAATTATTACAATGAAGATTTTGTAATGTATAAAGATTTGAATATAACTCCTCTATAAAGCATATGTTCAACTATCCAAATTTAAGTTGTCCATTGAAAGTCCTAAGTTGCTCCCAAATATTCACTCATAAAGAATTTATGTATCTAGGACTAACAGAGCCATGTAATTCGGAGATTTTCAGTAATATATAATGTAAAAAGTGTATTTCATTAGTTCAAACAAAGTAATTATACTGGATAAATGGTAAACTGCTTGTTGGAAAAATTTAATGTCCTAGTTATAATTTTCTACGTTGTCAGGAGCTAGTATTATTGTACAACAATTTAATAAACTAGAATTTGATTTGGCACAAAAAATGATGAGATCTAGAACCTTTTAGCTTCATGACGATTACGTCATTACTAGATTACTGTTAACATTCTTTAACTGAATTCGTATTATAGTATAAGGTATCTACTGTTCATTGTAGGGAGTTGTAGTTAGGATTAAACTCAGAGGTTCTTACTAGAACCTTAGGATATCAAATTCAAACTTAATCACTGATTTGAATTCACCTTGGGATTTGGTGGAAATGTGGATGGCTATTTTTTTATGTGATAAGTAATCTTTATCCAGTTTTGTGATTCGACATTTCTTAATTTTGATGTGATCAATTTGATAAGTCATGGTCTGTGGTGAACAAATTTTTTAGGATTGCTATTTGTATGATGAAAATAATTACTTCTGAGAACTGTAAAATGGATGCAAAGGTATTCGATCGATTTTATTTTATGACAAGAAATATCCTGGAATACTAATCTATCTGGAACATGAATTAAGGAAACTAATAATGGTATGTCGACGGAGAATATTGTTTACAAATTGTCAGCTTTAATGAACAGACATTTCTATTGCTTCAAATCAATGTTCACATGCGATAAGATTTTGGATAGTGGCTAGCAATCAGCTAGATACAGTAATTATCGTTTCTAATGTAGGAATATTATTCACTAGGCTACTAGGTAAATCTAGCTACATGTTTGTTTAACAAGTATTATGCTTATTATTATTCTCAAGCGATTGTATTTCTCAGCTCTTGGTAATCATGACTAACATTATCAAACCTTCACGATATTTAAACTTTTTGAGTGGATAGCTCATCGATAAATGGATGATATTTTGAACAGTCGATCACACTGCCAGCTATTTCAAGTTTTTTTCATTTACGTACTTGGAGACGGAATTTTTAAACACACTGTCAAATTTTTCTGTTATTAAGAATAAATTAGTTTAAAGGTAGGTCTTATTATCACAACTCGTATACATAATTTAACTGAGGTGAATATACTAATTGGGTAATATGTTATAGGTTAACTTGTCTATTGACCGAATAATAACAAAATTCTGAGTACTATTTCTGGAAGAAACAAAGTATTTAACACAATGTATATTCGCTAAATAAGATTTCTACGTGTATAAGTGTCCGGTTAAATTTTTTAGTCTGATCATATAATTAAAAATAAAGATTAAGTGAACACTAGTAGTTTCGTTTTTTCAACGTGCGTGAGGGGAGGGGGTAGACGGTTGCAAAATAACATTAGCTTATTGCCGTAATAAATGCCACACTACTGTTTCAGAACCAGTAGTTATTATGTAGGTCATTATAATCAAATGGGGCAATATTGAGATTGAAGTAGAAAATGTCATTCTAAGGAATTTGATACTAACTAACAGGGTGATGAAGTAATGATTAGGTGGTGTGTTGCACAAATATCTTTTCTCGTCATGCACATGATTTCCTTAAGGTAGTCATATGTTTCTATTTTGGTAATATTACCTTTGGGACAGGGCTCAGTAGATTGAATTCTTGTTACAAACAAGCCGTTGTTAACCAACTAGGCTGCGCTCTGAAACTCAACGTTCTACGGTCCCAAAAATATTGTCAGTGAGAGGTTTACTGTAATCCACATCAAAGAACTAAATGTCAACAACGGGAATGTTACTCATTCGATTAATGATAATATCTCCGTGTTTATCAGAGATTGTATATTGCATCCTACTTGAAATCAAGCTTTTCCATAGTTAGGAAAGTTTTTAATTGTAAAAATATACCTCATTAGGACTACATTTTCATCTTTGGAATCTTGTTTAAATTGTGTTAGTTAGTCGGAGGAGATCATCAAGAAGCAAGGGATCTAAGATTCCTATTCGTTGAAATTTACCAACATTCTTGAAGTAATTGACATTTCCTGATAAATTCTAACATGTATCACTTATTTTCACCGTTAAAGATATAAGGAATTACTACTAGCTATTTTCAACAATCTAACTTGAAACACGGTGTATCTCAGTATTAGATCATATGATTTAATCACTGGACTGAAACTTAGCAGATAAAAGAATTCAGTCAGCAATGAAAACTGAACAACATGATATTGCTTAACATTAACTAATCACTTGGTTTAGTTAATAAATTTGACAAAAACAAAACCTTAATAAGATATTACTTTTCATTTTTTCAGTTGTTAGTTAACTAGAATATTTGAAAAATTTATCCGCCTATTGATATGAACTAAAAGTCAAATTTTATTTTGACTCTGATTGCCATAGGGAAAAATTTCCAGGAAAAGAATTAAAAATGAACCAAGATAAGGTTATATTAAATATTATTATGTTAGTTTTTCATAGTGGTCTAGCTTCAACTGACTCATGATCTCAACTATTGAAATTATATTAGATTTATTATTCATCAGGACATTTAACACATATTATAACAACATATCATTAGATCCATTTTCTAGTTTAGTTAATCTATACATTTCTTGTCAAAAAATTTTTTATTTTATGTGAAAAATGAAATTACAACATGTCAAAGAGTTGAGTAGCCTTAAGCTAATATATCTGTGCTGAATTAATGATAAAACTTGCTTTGACCAGTTTTTAAGCTTTTAATAATTAGTTTTCATAGTATGATGTAATCAGTTGTGATTTGTTAGGAAATTATTATATGCATAGATGAAAGATACAACTTTGTTAAAGAAAGTACGCTTAAGAGAAATCAAGCTATTTTTGACTTTGTAAGTTCTTCATGAGAGTAATAGGGTAATTGATGAGCACTAAGAATGAAATCAAAGACGCCAGGAATCCTTATTTTTTTAAAAAAGTAATTTTAGGATGTGGACATATTTTACTGGTATATTTTTCTAAATAAAAATGTCTACAACGAACAGGTAGTAGGTTGTCAAATCCAAAAAGAAATAAAAATGACCGGAAAATTGCCATAATTTATATGTATCTGATATATAATAGAGGTTACAATGACTGAATGATAAAGTCCATAGACCAAAGTGTATATGTTAAGATGATGGCATATTTGACCAATAAATATTAGTTATAGAAACAAAGTACATAAAAGAAGACAAGTTGTCAGATGACAATCAAATGTACATGGAAATATCACTAACTACTTCAGGGAGTAGAACTTCATGGAAGAACTCTGTCGTACTTCAGTCTTTGGGTGTCACCAAAAACTTGATCGATCGAGAGGTAGAAAATCGTTTACACTTAATACACTAATCACGACCTAAATTAATTTATCATAATCAGAGTTAAGTTACAGAAGGTAAATAAGTAATAAATCTTTCTTCTATAGTTAGCACTTATTATTATTTACAGAAATCAGTATGCTAATTAAGTTTAAGTCACATCTCATAAAATACCGTATTATTAATGACAAGCAATTTTATTACTAGCGAAACTTTTTGATGTTGACTTCTTTCTTGCAATAACGTTGACAAGTAAAACAAAGGAAACCAAGAAGCAGTAGACAGATGTTTCATTCTAGTTTGTAACTCTTCCACAGTGGGTATCCACACTCCTACATGGGACCTAACCTAGAACTGTTAGACGTCACGGCGAGCATTTGAAATTCAGACAAGTGAGATGTAATTCAAAGGGTCGCAATTCTAACTTTAGCCAATCCACAAAATAGTGCAACTATTGTACAAAGCCACTAGGAGTGGTTGGTATACACTTGACACGGCTGAACTTGATAAGTAATGAAGGAGTTCAGATTAGATTGAAATAGTTAATCATCAACCCACTGTTATCAATCGTTCCGTAATCGATATTAGTTTATGACAAGAAATAATCACAAAGAATTAATTTAAAAAATCATTCTGTTAACTATTTTTGATTGAAGCTTACAGATTATAATTCAACTTCAGTTACTGTTATTAATAGTAAGAGAATATACATATTTTCAGTGCATTCTAATAAGCAAAAAATAGGTTTATTGTTTTATTTGATGACACCAAATGATGAATGAAACAATTGTCTGGAGATTAGGCTCCATAATTTGCACTGATTGTGGTATCATGTGACAGAAATTGGTGACTAGTTGTTATAATGATATAAAGATCAAAATATTTTCAGGATAATGCATTATATGTAAATCTAATTAAGATACATATATACGTGATAGGACATGTTGCTGAAACAAACGAAAATTACCATGAATCGAATATCACTCAGTAGTTTCAATTCAAGATATCTAATTTTAGAAACGCTTTTTATAGACTGAAAAATAAATTTTTAAATAAGCTATTCCATATAATTAAATATCTTTAGACAAAATATTTATGAATTCCAATTTTAAGTTAGGTGGTTGAAAGTAGTCATTAGAATATCCTGAACTGAAGTTTCATAGTATTTGTTACTCATTAGCAAAGGCATA